TAGAAAAGCTGCAATTTCTGGGGAAATTGTGTGAAGTGTTCTTGCCTCCACCAGTAGTCTAGGGCTTGAAAATGAGAGAGTGATGGCAGTTTAGAAATCATGTCCTGATTTTTCAGCTCACACTCTAGCTTTTGTCACTCTGCTGCCTGCTCACACACCTGGGTTCCTATGGCAACTCACTCTACAGCAAGGGCAGAGAAGAGCGGTTAAAAACAAATTGCTCCAACTTGCTCACTTCACTGGCGGTTGCCATCTTCAAACGGTTGTATTTTAAAAAGTATAAATCACAAGACCCAGACCTACATTTTGATGCATAGTGTTGGAGATCACCGCCGCGATGGGCTCAGCGCAGGCGCAGTGCACCGCCCTGTGCAGGAACGCGGGCACTGGGACCTGGCCGACCGCAACGAGGGAGTTCGCGCATGCGCAGTAGGGACCGTGGGCGCGCGCGCGTGGCACCAATGACAGCGCAGGGCGGGATATTTAAATGGCCCTGAGCTGTCATTCAGTGCCTTCTGGTCTTCCCTGTATCCTGTATCTGTGAACCTGTGATTTGTAAGTTGCTGACCCGGATTGTGCTCTGACCTTGCTATATTCTCCTGCCCAGACCCTTGCTTTGCCTGACCTCTCTCTTGGATGCCCCCTATTGGATCTGACCTGCTGTTGCTGACCTGGCGTGTGACCCGACTATTCTCCGACCCGGCCTGTCAGACTTCGCACCTGCTCAGCCATCCATCCATCCACCCGTCCCTCCCAGTGGGGTCTTCAGACCTCCTCATATCAGGCTCTCCCCCGTGGGAGCCCTCGGCGTATACCACTACCACTGACTGGTTTACCCAGTAGCCACGACCTGGTCTCAGGGTGCTCCAAGTCCATCCCCACCATCAGGTGCCCTGGTGAACAAGCACCTTGGAACTTAGATTCCGTGCTCTGGGGACGCCTATTCAGTGGAGTGCTAGTGGTACCGCCGGGTGGTCCCTTACACATAGTATGTCTCTGAAATACTAAAAATGAAGGCACAGTCGCAGTTTAGAAATTGCCCTTCAAATTTGAGGTGGCCAGAGGGGAGTTTCAATGAATGTCAATGGACGGCGTGAGTTGCAAACAAATGGTCATATTGTGAAAACTATCAGGACTATGGCTTAGCCGTGGACATTTTTAGTGGCATCAGGGATAGCTGAACATTTTGATATAAGATTTGTGTAGGTGGGCTTGAAAATGAGAGAGTGACGGCAGTTTAGAAATCATGTCCTGATTTTTCAGCTCACACTCTAGCTTTTGTCAGCTCCCACTCTAGTTTTGAACATTCCGCCATTCATTCCTATGGGACCAATTTCACCACAAAAACGCCAATATTTTGTGAACCATTCGGCGAAACGTTCCACAAAGTAATAGCTCACCAATCGGGAACAATCTGCACATTTCGGTATATTACCGTCTATGTAGTGTAAAAACTGTGGGAGGAGTTAGGGTGGTACATTTGGTTATAATAATAAGAATATATATGTGAGATAACAGTAAGTGGTCTTGCCATGCAAGAACACTTCATTATTTATCCTTTTCAATTGCTGAGTCTAAGCTAAAAAAAAAATAAAGGGAATCAAGTATGTAGGACCCACTAGCCAAGTCAGTTATGAAGCCCACTGCTAAATCAACTAGGTTATGAACCATTGACATTTTACACTAATACTCTACACAAAGATTGAATTATTTACCTTGTTTATTATCAGCAAAATATTATATTGTTTCCCCCCTATTGTTTTGGCTGGCGGGATTATTTCGGGGCAGAATCAGGCACAATGTATAGATAAGGATGAGTGTACTAATCTCAATAAAGGTGGATTTGGCCAGGAATGTGCCAGTTCCGCTGGTACCCGTGTCCAAGAACTAGCACTTTGCACTGTTTAAATATTCCTGGGATATTCAATGAGTTCTGTACTGTCCTTCCACCACCCCCATAGCTGCTTATTCTCTCTTACAGTCACTTAGGATAGCTTTTGTCATTGTACAATTAAAGATATTGGGACAGATTTGGGGCTTTTTTAGATTAGCCGTGTTTTTGTGCATGTTTAATGTGATAGAAATATACATCAAGTCTCTCTTTACTTTTGACACTGCTGCATGGATAATCGTTCAGATGTTACTTAGTCAGTGTTTGAATATGACATGAAGTATGCAAGAAAAGACAGTTCATATAACTTTAATGAAAAAGAGAGAAGTCCTGGAAGTCCCCGTAAGAAGGTGTATGACAGCCCGGGCTCCAACCATGCCACGGGCCCAACGTGTTTCACTCCACCCACGGAGAGACATGAGGATAAGGATTCAATGCACAAGGGGAAAATAAATACACCATCGGCTGCCATTAAACTAAGAAAAATAGGTATCAGGTGAACATTGCCTTTACACTAGGATGACACGACATAAAAATGCTGATGTACAAATGCAAAAAGAAAATCTATAATGTCCAAAAAAACGCCAAAGCATACAGAGGAAAAATATGGGTACTAAAAAACAAATGATGGCGAACAATGAAAAAAAATAATAAAAATGTATTTAAAAGGGAAAAAGACCCCAAAGCAGCTCAAAAACAAAAAAAAAAAGAAAAAAGGGTAGTAAAAAAACTCCTAAAAGCAAACTTAAAAAAAACACTTAAACTGGGATAAATTGACTTCCTACAAAAACACACTCTAATCAGCCGTGTATTTAGGTTTTGTGCTGCCCTAGTCAACACAAAAATCGCCCCCCCCACAGAGAAAGCCTAACACCAACCAACACCACTCCCCCTCCACCCCCTCCCCCTTACCCGAGAAAGCCTACCACCACCTTCCATGCACCGGCCATAACACCCCACCCCCCCAGCGAGAGAGAAAAACGAAACTCACCTTCACAGCTTCAGACATCCCCTGGAATGAGAGTTAGGCTCTGCATACACTGTCAAGCAGCCCGCAGCCTCTCTTGGATCCCACTTGGTCCCCATGCCGTGTGTGTCCCTTCTTCTGTCCCTTCTTCCGAGGATAGGTGCTGCCCCCCTAAAAAATCCCACCATAGGCAAATGCCTTGTTTGCCTTGTGGTAAATACACCCCTGACTCTAAAACAATAGTATACATGAGTAATGTATGAAGTAAAGACATATATAGAAGCATGGCTCCAAAGGGAGTTATCTTTAATCCCTAATTCCCACCCTGCTAAGCTGGGTGCGCATTCACTTTTCAGGCTGAACAGTCTCTATTCTTTTATGTTTACTGCTGCTCAAGGTAGAGAGACTCTGAATCTCCAAGCACAACGGCTGCTATAGGTGCTAGCCCAGCTCGCGTGCGCATAGAGGAGAACAAAGGACATCTAATCGGCTGCACTCCAAAAAAAACACTTTATTGAACCAAGATAAAACCAATACAGACAGTGGAAATAAAGTGGGGGACTGGCAGGTAAATGCGTTTCACAGTAAAGACAGCGCTTATTCATTGCCCCAGGGGGACGTCGGATGATCAGACTTCCTTTGTTCTCATCTCTATTCTTAGTTGAAGTTTTGTAGTTTTTCTGGACTCCAGAAGGAAACATTTCAAGGCTCATTTGAATGGTGAAATATAAGTAGGTTTCCAAATAAGCTCACTGGCACTGGTAAGGCAGTTCTTAACAAACAGGCCCTCTTATTTTTATGTATGGTCCTCTTATATGTTTCTGTTTTTTATTACAATGTCAGACTTTTTGACTTTGTTCCATTGCTCCTCCAACCATTTTTTTTTTTTTTTAGCCAAAACGTACTGTGTTGTGTTTTTGCCAAAAGAAAGTCATACCAGTGACCTATTTCATCCATTAATTTGGACTTCAAGGTTTAATAACAAAGCCAGGTGGTTTTGATAGTGCTGTGAACCTCAATGTCTCTGACAAATACACACCCAATCCTTCCCACAATCATAAATAATAAACACATTATAGCATATTTTTGAAAAGAGGAAAAGCCCGTTTAAAAAATGTTATCATCCTATAGCAAGAATTGTGGCAGTGGCTGTCATGCTAAGAGGCAACATTCCAGGACTTCACACACACAATCAATGTATAGTATAGTAAGGAAGTTAGTATCAGTGACAGCCAGTGTATTAACCAAAGTAGCAAGGAAGGGAAAATGATTCTCAACTTGCTGCAAAGTACTTGCGCTTTAATGTATTCCTAGCAGATATTGACATTGTCTACTGGATATTGTGTTTGTCTTTGTAGCTGAATGATTTTTTATTTTATTCACTGTTTTGTTACTACTTTAATAAAAGCTGTAATTAAAAAGGGATTTCAGTAAGTGTCCTAAAGACTTTAAATACAACATTTGCAATCTTGTTAAAGACTTGTATTAATCTTATAAAAATGCACAGTTTGATCAAAATCTTTAGATGCAGGACACTATAAAAAAAGCTTTTGTTTGATTGTCTCCTTTGATCCTTCAGTATTTGTAGGAATAAGGCCTAGACTATTTTTATGTTCATAGGATGTCAGTTTTCAAAGCTGGAAGTTCAGGATGTGACATGCGAACAAAGCATAGGAGATGGTGCTTGTCACATGGCTTCTAAGACTCAGTTCTGTCAAATGCCAGAGATAAACCCACAGCTGTAACTTTGATGTCCTCACTATGTTCTTTCTAAAATTACTTTACTCTCTCAAAAAAGATATGTTTTACCTTCAGCTGCCAAAGTTGCAATGGTACTTTAGTTTTGGCAGTAATATATATATATATATATATGTATGTATATACAGTATATAGCACCAAAAAGTTTGCTCAGCGCTGTACATTATAGTGGGGGACAGTACATGAGACAATACAGTAACAATACAATACACGAGGGGTTCGAGGGCCCTGCTCCTTGGAGCTTACAATCTAGGAGGGTTGATTATAAAAGGGTGTTACTTAATAAAGAAAACCCTTTCCCATTTCATGCTGTCAGCAATGGCACCACATGGAAGAGAAATGTCACAAGGCCTGAGAAAAAAATAATTTCTTTACACAAGAAAGGTAAAGCTTACAAAAAGATCAGCAAAGCTTTACTTATCAGTCAAAATACTGTAGCAAAAGTAATACAACAATTTAACAAAGATGGAACTGCAACCATCTCACAGAGACGTCCAGGCTGTTCACGGAAGTTAACATCTTGACAGGAACGTCTTCTGATGAGAAAAGTTGAAGAAAATTGCCATGCAAGCTCACTGCAGTTAGTTAAGAAATAGCCAAACTGGGGTGATTGTTTCCCAAGGCACAATATGTTGTACACTGCAGAGGAATGGCATGCATGGGGGTCTCTCCTAAATCCCATGCACAAAAAAAGCCCGCCGAGAATTTTCCAGGGCCCATTCTGAAAAATAAGAGGACTACTGGGGCTCTGTACTCTGGAGTGATGAGACCAAGATAAATGTTTTTGGAACTGATGGCTTCAAAACTGTGTGGATACAAAGAAAAATGCATGGTGCCTACAGTGAAACATGGTGGTGGCAGTGTCCTTCTGTGGCTTTGCATGAGTGCTGCTGGTGTCGGGAAGCTGCATTTCATTGATGGTACCATGAATTCACAGATGTACTGCTCTAAATTGAAAGAGAAGATGCTACTATCACTCTGTGCCCTTGGTCATTGTGCACTTTACCAACATGACAATCATCCAGAACACACATCTGAGGCCACTGTTGTATTTCTGAAGAACAGGGTGAAAGTGATTGAGTGGCCAAGTATGTCTCCTGATCTGAACCCAATCAAAGACCTATGGGGAGTTCTGAAGAGACAAGTTGAGCATCACTCTCCATCCAACATCCAGGCTTTAAAAGAGGTTGTTCTGGAAGAATGGAAAAAGATCGATGTTGCAAAATGTTACCAACTTGTTCATTCCATGCCTAGAAGACTTGGTGCTGTCCTTACACATTATGGAGGTCATACAAAATACTAGATGAAGTAGTTTTTGTTGTGGGGTGCATTCATTTTTTCATCACCTAATTTGGGTAAAATTGAAGATTTTGTAATGTAAGTGATATTATTAACCTTACTTTCATGTAATGAGCTAAACAAAAATGTTCTGTAAAACTCAGTTTTGTCAAAATTTTGGAAATTGTTCTTATGTTCATTGAGGAGTTCAAGAGGAGTGTACTCATTCATGTCCTGAGCATAGGTGTGTCTGTGTGACAACAGAAAGAGGGAGAACGATGTCTGAGGACCTGAGAAACCAAAAATTGTGGCAAAATATCAACAATCACAGGTTACACTGTGTATATATATATATATATATATATATATATATATATATATATATATAAATAATTAATAAAGTGCTCATGAAATGTGTTATTATTTTATATAACTTTATTTTGTATCCATAATATCACCAACAAGAGTTTCCATTCTTTAAAATAATTTTCTTTTGCGGGGGACGAGGAAGGGGGCACTTTGCAGTTCGCTCGATGAGCCTCAACCTGTCAAACTTTTGTCAGGAACATAGATGATAAAAATATTTTTTGCATTTAAATCCCTGGCCTTCAATAATTAACTGAAAAGCTCAAAATTTGGCAAGCAAAGAAAATAAGCACATGTTTATAATTCCATGAGTCTGATATCCGCACACATTCACTGTGGGTGAATCTTCTAGGTGGTTGATTCACCACCAATGAATGTCTTGTGAAAGTCACAGTGGTTGTTTTTATAAACATGCCCCATGTGTGTAGCAAGGACATGGTATTAAATGAATGGTCAACACTAAAATGTTAGGGGCACATAGATTCCTAGCAGGAGAAGATCATTTAAACTGTTACTAAACCCATGACCCTGCATTCACTATATCTGGTCTCCCACAGTTCACACAACATGGAAATGAAATTATTTTAGTAAATTCAAACTGCTAAATACCTTTTCTTATCAGCAGTATATAGCAGTCTTGTGACTTCTATCAGTGTCCAGCTGAGCACTGGTTGAATCTTGTAGGAGGAGTTTTCATTCTTCTCTGACTGTCCTATGAGGCTGCATAACCCCTGACCCTCTGTCTGGACAGTCCTGATTGACCTGTGCTGATCACTTGAAAAAAAAAAAAAAGCTAGAAATACACACTAAACTGATCATGTGCACAGTGACTCCTAGAGCTCTGTCCTATCAGCAGATGAATTGTGGACAGCAGAAGAAGGAGAGGATCAGATAAGACATGAACAAACAGCCTTTTTACACAATGTGGAGGATTAACCCCTTAGATTTCACAGTGAGTATAACAAGTGTGCTTTACTGCATATACAGACTGATTTTACTGTTGTGGGTTTAGTAACACTTTAATATGTACATTTTCTAGAAAATTAAGGTATTATGAAGTTGTATTGGGCTAATGATATGTGTTTTCGTTTCTCACCACTGACATATTTATAATCCCCATAAAAGTATTACATACTGTATATGATATATATTCACTATAAAATGGACTTTCAAAGGATGAGTGCACCTGTACATGCACTCCCCTGCCCTATCCTTGGCAGAAACTTTATAAATGTAATCACATACTGAAAATATTCTGAAGTGCTAGTTTAGACTGCTTAGCCGAAGCAGTGATCTTGTTTTATGGAGCACTCAGCCAGTTTGAAAATACAAGCCAGGGAGATGCCATAAATGAAATGCTAAAAAATTGTTTGTTATAAAAATGTTTTTATTTTTTTTGCCTTAACACCTGCTTAAAGCAGACTATCACTTAAAAAGTATAGTTTATTTAAACCCTCCACAGTCTACAACGGAGACTCTTTTTTTGTTTTATTTTTTTTTTAGGGTGGGCTGCTGCTTTTAGTAACCTGAATGCAAGTGTACCATGAAACATGTTACTAATGCAAGAACTTATCCTTTAAGGCTGAATTTGTGAACTTGTGTTTACCCACAATGCATGTTATGCATGTTGGTGCACTGTGGTGTAGTCAATTCTGAATGGCACCCCACTGCTCCTGCGTTGCAGCACACCACAGTGCATGGTAACATGCTACTGCGTGTTGTTTGTGTTCTGCATTACTAAAAGTTGTACCTGCACATTTTTCAACGTGTTTCGGGTCATTAGGAAGTTGATTCAAATGAATGGGCTGACACAATTCAAACTATTATTATTATTACAGGTACTTATATAGTGCCATCAATTTATGCAGCACTTTACATATATATTGTACATTAACATCAGTCCTGAACCCTCAAGGGGTGTACAATTTAAGGTCCCTAACTCACATTCATACATACACATACTAGGGCCAATTTAGACAGAAGACAATTAACCTACCAGCATGTCTTTGGAGTGTGGGACGAAACTGGAGTACCTGGAGGAAACCCATGCAGGCACAGGGAGAACATGCAAACTCCAGGCAGGTGGTGCTGCGGTTGGGATTTGAACCAATAACCCTAGTACTGCCAGGTGAAAGTGCTAACCATTTAGCCACTGTGCTGCCCCGAATTAACAGGAATAGCACTGCAGCAAGGAGCTTTCTGATGTCCTGGTTGAAGCATTATGGAGGATGGACCTGGATTGTAAATCATCTGGTGGCTGGAGTGGTGATCGATTCAGTGATATATAAGGACCCCATTCTGTAATATATAATTGTAAGTGTAATTAGAACCCCAATTAAAGGGGAAGGCGCAATTGACTTAATATATGTTGGGTCTACTATTAAGTTGACTGGTAACGTTTCCCTAGTGTCATGTCAACGTGAACTGATGTCATGGCCACACAAGGCATACTGGAAGCAGAAATTAAAAAATTACTGAAGAGATGACTAAAGGATTACAAACGGCCATCATACTCATCTTGCAAGATTGTTCTAAGCGTATGGACCCACAATGAGTAGGCTCTAAACGATTTCCAGGACTCCAGTTGGAGAACGGTGGCAGAGCAGTCTTAGATTCAGAGGAGAGAGGCTATTCCCATGCTGTCTGTCTGGTCCATTTAAAGGGGGCTTCCTGCAGATCCTTGGTGAAAATATGATTCAACAGATTGCGCTTTTACTATGTGCATCTGGTGAGTGCTCATTTTTATCAATTTCCTGCATGGATAAAAGTCACATGGAAGAATCTGATACCATCTGTGCAATAGGATTCGTGTGCAGCACACCTTTCTGACCGGTGTGTGTCAGACCCTCACCATCATATGAACACTTTTTTGTTTAATGACTTCACAGCCACACTTGCTTCATTGTGCTCATTGCAGCTCTTCATTCACTTCTGTGTTATTACTTGTATTTAATATCGCCATATCAATAATATTTATATAGTATTGCACTTTATTACATTATTCATTTTTTTCAGTGCTGCACCAATGTTTGTTTGTATTCCAAATTAACATATGACACATTGCACAACACATGAGTGTTTATGCAAGGCAAAAATTTGACTGGACCCTTAAACGCTGTTTTTTTTTTTTTTGTTTTTAGAAATCAGGACTCAGTTGGTCTTAGGAGAGGTTGCTATTTATTAAAAACCACTGGAAAAAAAAAAATTGGATATATAAATGAGGACATTAGCAAAAGGCTTCCTTACCACCTTCCCAAACACTGAATAAAGTAATCAACAGTAGGAAGATATGAACATTTCTAATCAAAATAATATTTTTTTTTTTATTCTTGCTTTTTTCCATTGCAGTAATTTTTTTAATACAGGGGCTATACAGTGTGCATAGCCTGCGTGGTCACTCTCTCAGAACCCGCAGCTCAGAAGTGAGCACAGATGTATAGTATGAGTGCAAATAGTGTGCTTTGGATCACATATCAATGCGCATGCACGCATAGCCGCATCTTTTAAATCATCTTAACACCCCGGGTGTGACTTGGCATGCGATTTGCATGCCATGCAATTTGCAAATCGCATGCCAAGTCGCACCCTATTGTCCGCAATTACAGCGTTGAAATTGGTGCGGTTCCGACTTGGTTGGAACCTCACCGATTTCTAAAGTAGTACATGTAGTACTTTTTGTGAGATTTACATAGACATCTGTGTCAGATGTCTTACAAATCGCACCTGAAATTGGCGTGTCCCCCGACTTTGAAATTTTGCAACTTTACTGTAAGTCAAGGGATTTCAAAGTCGGGCTTGATGTGACCGGGGGGGGGGGGGGGCTAATACGTGGCTGTTTGCAACAGCTGTGAGTCCCAGGGGAGTAATATGTCCCCTATGGACTCTATATGTCCCCTGCAAGCATTATACAAATATGTATTTTTAGATACTATAGAGTTCTTTAAAGCACCATGAATCAGACTATAAGTATCACTTGCAAAATTCCATAAGCTTTCTAAGTTCCAAAGCCATCCTTTTCTCTTGAGACATATCTAGAACAGAAAAATGTGCTGTACATTTTGGAGCCCAGGAATTTCTTTCGATAATAACCACTTGAAGAATACCCATCAAAGTATATTTCTTACCTATACATAAGGCAAGCTTCAATTTTAAGGGATCTACCATGGAATATTTGAATGCAGCTACTGACAACCTTTCCTTATCAGCTGACAGGCTGCATTTTTCTGAATATTGGATCATCCCATTAAATTACAATCTCTGCTTTGTGCAGGTTGTATTTCAGAACGTTTTGCTATGAGATAATAGAATAGAATCTATTATAAACTGTTATGACGGTGTCTGAATTTCTGTCCTAATAAACAGGGTCTGGCTTTGAACAGCAAAGTGCTAATCAGTGAAAAATATAAGGAGTAGTATTAAAGGCATCGGTAGCCTAAAATACAAACATTGTTTTAGAATTTACTGTAGTGCACATTTATTTAGAATAATGGAATAATAAAATATATTCTTCAGATTTTTTATAACATATAAAAAAGTCATTTTAACATATATTTTTCCATATATTTGTAAATGCATTCCAAAAATGTAGATTTGTATTTTTAAAGACATATAGTATATTTGAAATGCCTTTTTAAAAATAGTTTTCATATATTTTGTAATAAAAACACATTTTAACATGCAGAGTATATATATATATATATATATATATATATATTTTATTTATTGAAATATATTTTGAAATATATTGAATATGGCCAAAATTGTAGCATTTCAAATATATGTCAATATATTTGGGAAGAATATTTTAAAAATATATTTCAGATATATTTTCTTCCATGTGGAAGGTTCCCATGCTGAAGCCGTTGTCACTAGTCTCTCATCTGCAGCCTCCACTGGCTGATACAGTGGAGCTAGATCACGTGACCAGACCAGAGTGGGCTGAAAATAGGTAAGTATATACATCTTTTTACAGGTTAGTAAGCATAGGTGTTAGGAGGGGGACAGGAACATTTTTAGGACTAATTAGGCTTTAGCTGGAATTCTACTTTAAGTGAAGAGAACATTCACTTTGCTGTGTGAACAATCTATGCTCTTTTGGTAAATCAACCCCACTTTGTATCAAAATTTACCTAAACATTTGCTGAAATTAGGGAATTGGGGCATTCTGCAACTAGGCGCCTGTCCTTAATTGCGGCACAGCACAGAGTAATTACACAGTTAGTGCATGGCGCTGAGGTGCTTTGCATGTTCTGATGCCACATGAGCAACCAGAGGGGACGCATAATAAAGTGCCCATATCTGTGCAGCAGATACAGTGCTCAGCATAAATGAGTACACCCCAACACATTTGTCAGAAAACCTTTCCCTTCCTTTCAGAATCAACATTTATGGGACACTATACTACAAAATACTCCCACAAATACGGGACATTGATTGCAAACAAGATTTGTTATTTTGCACGCACAACAATGTATTTTTCCTAACAAATAATTCAAGACCATGTTGCAAAAATGAATACACCCCAATGAAAGTATTGAGAGCAAAGCTACATTTTAGACAACAAAATACAGATAAAACAAGAATTCAACTACAGGCGAGTCTAATTATTCATTAAACAGGTGTCCAGCAGACAGTTGATTATAAAAGGGTGTTACATAACAAAGAAAAAAACCCCTTCCCATTTCATGCTGTCACCACATGGAAGAGAAATGTCACAAGGCCTGAGAAAGAAATTAATTTCTTTGCACAAGAAAGGTGAAGGCTGCAAGAAGATCAAAAATTTAACAAAGATAGAACTGCAACCATTTTACAGAGACGTCCAGTCCAAGTTAATACCTCGACAGGAACATCTTCTGATGAGAAGGGTTGAAGAAAATTGCCATGCATGTTCACTGCAGTTAGCTAAAGAAGTAGAAAGTCAAACTGGAGTGATGGTTTCCTGTGACACAATACAGCGTACACTGCAGAGGAATGGCATGCATGGTTGTCATCCACAAAGGAAGCCTCTCCTAAAGCACATGCACAAAAAAGCCTGCCTAGAATTTGCCAGGGCCCATGCTGAAAAAGAAGAAGACTACAGAGACTCTGTACTCTGGAGTGATGAGACCAAGATAAAGGTTTTTGGACTAAACTGGCTTCAAAACTGTATGGTGTTGCAAAGGTGTTGAGTACAAAGAAAAATGCATGGTGCCTGCAATGAAACATGGTGGTGGCAGTGTCCTTCTGTGGGGCTGCATGAGTGCTGCTGGTGTTGAGGAGCTGCATTTCATTGATGGTATCATGAATTCACAGATGTACTGTTCTATATTGAAAGAGAAGATGCTACCATCACTCCATACACTTGGTCGTTGTGCACTTTTCCAACATAACAATGATCCAAAACACACATCTAAAGCTACTGTTGCATTTCTGAAGAAGAACAAAGTGAACTGAACAACTATGGGGAATTCTGAAGAGACAAGTTGAGCATCGCTCTCCATCCAGCATTCATCTCTAAAAGAGGCTGTTCTTGAAGAATGGAAAAAGATAGATGTTGTAATATGTCATCAGTGTGTTCATTCCATGCCTAGAAGACTTGGTGCTGTCCTTACAAATCATGGAGGTCATACAAACTACTAGATGGAGTAGTTTTTGTTGTGGGGTGTATTCATTTTTGCATCAAGTAATTTGAGTAAAACTGAAGATTTTGAAATCTAAGTTATATTATTAACCTTACTTTCATGTAATGAGGTAAACAAATGTTCAATAAAATCAGTTATGCTAAACACTGCAGGTACATTCACTGCACAGCTCTGAAGTGGACCCCGCTATAGAAAACAGTACTCCAATATAAACTTGTGTACACTGCATAACTGTAAGTTGTATTCCTGACAGAAAAGGGCATGGTCCATTCCAAATTTTGATTTAACCTCCCTAACGGTCTGATTATGTCCATATTTCTGTGTACATGTACATTTTTTTGCATGGAAATATGTATTTTTTTTATTGTAGGCCTGTAATTATTAGGAATAACTCACTGAAATCTGTCCGAACAAGAGTCTAGTAAACATCCCGGGTATGTTAAAAATTGAAACAGGAAATCATAAATTATAATTTAATAAATAATCATAAAAAATAATAATATATTAATAATAAATTTAATTCAATAATATACTCGAACCAAAAACACTGAAATTTGAAATATAGCGCCAAGTTCGCACATCACTGAGCAAAAGTCGCAAAATCATTATCACTCAATTCTGCAAGTAGTTCTAATTTACTATCGCTGTTCTCTAGCTGGTCTAAAATGGATTTTGACCTAAAGGGACACTTTTTGGACGCCATGGACGTTTCTCAGTTTCCAGGCAGAAAGAACAGTAAAAATGTAGGCAGGGCACAGGACAAAGCATTAGGGCCAAAATGTATGTGAAATGCTTTAATACAATAATGTTTTACTATGTTATTTTAGTGAACTTAGTGAATGTCACTTTTTGTCATTTTCAAATTTCCCGCCGTTCCGTCCCCGTACATCCTGACGTCGCAGGGGACGGAACCCAGAAGACAGATCCGCCGGAGTACATTACAGGGGACACTGCAGGAGGAACATCGCTGGAGCGCAGGACAAGGTAAGTGATCGAGGGATCGTGGAGAAGCGCCACATGGTAAGCCCGTGTGTAGCTCGGGGTTATCGCTTGTGGTACTGAACTTTACCCCGAGCTACACTCAGGAATACCACCAGGGAGGCTACACAAAAAAAGTGTGACGTAATTTTAAAAAAATGTCCATTTGCAGCAACGCCTCTCGTGTGTTTCTTATGTGCCTTTATTTGTGCATTGCCACTCTTGTCTTCTCCACTTCTTACCCCTGTGAACCAATACCAGTTGTGCGCTCACCTTGTATTTATAACCCACACTTTCAATGTAAGGTTATAAAAAAAGCATGTGTCCCCTTTAAATGGGGTCTTCTGGACTCCGGCTCCTATTTTTATCTACCACTGTAAGAGGCGTCAGGTCCCCTTTAAGAGGTGTCAGGTTCTTCTGTCCAGCAAGCTTCATATATTGTCCACTCCGCCAGAATTATAGCATTAGGGCAAAGACATACTACATAGGTCACATAGTGCTTAAACCTTTTAAACGTAAATAAAGCCCACTCAAAAAATTACGCTCACATTTTGAAAGTGCAGGAGCTCACCACAATATAACAGCATTCAAAACAACAGTGGCATTAATGCAGACCACTCCTACTCTACAGATACCGCACTTCCACACCACATGGTTTTGTAAACATCATGCTGACATCATCCAAGCCCCACCCCCATTCCAAACTTTGGATCCCAAAATCTGTTATTAAGTTACTGACTGAAATGTAAATGTAAGACCCTTATCCTGGTATATGTTCATGTTCTTTACCCAAGGCACTGACTGCAGCTCTGATCCAGTTAGAGAGAGAGAAGGCAAGTTAAGAGAAACGACTTGCTAGTTTTTAGGGATGACCTCTAATATTACCAACAGGATCTGCATAAATAAAAACATATGATAATGCTATCAGTACCATGTGCTCTATGGACAACTGATGAGGACAAAAAGATAACTCATTTAGTTTGAAAAATGCTTCATATGAGCAATAAATGTGTCACTGCTTTAGAGCACAGCTTGAGCGCTTCCACTTACATTCTGTGGAAAATGTTATGTGCCAAGGAAACATAAGATTATGCCAAGTATTTACAAGGATGCGCTGTATACAACTTATTCTGGAAATGCTTAACCACTTTAGCCCCAAGCCATTTCTGGCACTTTTTGTTTACATTTTAAAATCAGTAATTTTTGCTAGAAAATTTCTTAGAACCCCAAACATGATATGTTTTTTTTTTTAAAGCAGAGGCCCTAGAGAATAAATTTAGCATTTTTTGTTTGTCACATGGTATCCGTGGATCAGTTTTTCAAACACAATTTTTGGGAAGAAATACACTTATTTTTAATTTTATTGCAAAAAACACAATACATAACCCAATTTTTTTGTAGCTGAGTAAATAGATATCAAACATGCCACGCCTTAAAATTACACACGCCCAGGCAACAGCGACAAACGATGTAGATTTTACTATTACTGGAGGATGCTTTAAAAGCATTCACAGATTACCAATTGAGATTTACAGAGGAGGTCTAGTGCTAGAATTACTGCCCGTGATCTATCATCACAGCGGTACCTCACATGTGTGGGACAATTGCTGTTTGCATGTGTGCAGGACCGGCACGTGTGTTTCCCGTTTGCGCACAAGCATAGGGGGCCGCACTTTAATTTTTTTTTTAATTAATAATTTTTTTTTATTTTTACATTTCACTTAATTTTTTTTATGCAGGGATCTGGGGTCTATGAGACCCCAAATTCCTCCTATGCACTTGAAAGCATTCAAAACACCAAGATCAGTGGTTTTTAATGCTTTCAGATTTTTCAAAATGGCGCAGAAAGTTTTGCACGTATGTCATGTCATCACTTCTGGCTTACAATAAAAGCTGATTCTGGCTTTGTTCTGCTGTCTGGTCAGCTGGCTGATGCACCAGCTGGTTGCTCTAGGAAGGAAAAAGGTCACCAACACACCAAGGATCACCAATATGGGTCCAAAGGTTTTAATGAGCGATCACATAGTTACAGCAAGGCAACGTTTCGGAGTCTCACAGGACCCCTTCATCAGGCATACACACAGCCATTTTTAACGCAGGAACGTGTGCGTTTGGACTATACACTCGCAAGCTGGTTGCTCGAGACTCCTGGTGGGATGAGGGATCCAGAGAGAGCGGAGTGAGGAAGGAACACCCCCTCCCATTACTTGTACAAGCAGTCGAGCAGCTAGTAAGCTGCTCCAATTGCTTGTACAAGAGAGCTGTCCGCCAGATCTAAAAAACAGTACCAGGGTGATCACTAGTGGTGCACCGAAATGAAAATTCTGGTGTCGAAAACGAAAATTCAGAATGCACTTGGCCAAAAACTGAAACTGAAATGTGCAGTTTTTAAAAATGAATATATATTTTTTATTAAAAAATAGGAAAGCAGAGGGACTGGCAGGAACACCAGGGATTTTGCTCAAAGGAAGCAATACAAAGAGAACATGATATTTTTTCAAGTACATGGTCCAGCAGGCACCTATCAGGAATATGAAATGTTGGGCTTACATATTCTTTAACTATAGACTACTTGAGTGATGTTCGCCCTTGCTACAATAAAAATACATTTAAAGCACATATTTAGGCTTCATGCACAGGGCCCCAAGAGGTCGTACAGTGTGCATTTGGGGGTAATTCTCTGCTGGGAGTCCAGGTACAGTATACAACCTGTTGGCAGCATCCTGTTAAAGTCAACGTCAAGCTGAAATGTGCAGAGGCTGTATCCAAATATCCTAATATTACACAAAGATAACCCAAGTAAATACAAAATGCAGTTTTTAATCATCATTTCACTTATTAAGGAAAAAAAGCTGTCCAAACCTGTCTGGCCCTATGTCAGAAAGTAATTGCCCCACCCCTTGCTAAATCATGTATGAACTGTGGTTAACCACATTTCTTGGAAAGCTGAGTTAAAGTTCACTTGCCACACCCAGGCCTAACTACTGCCAGACCTGTTGAATCAAGAAATTACTTAAATAGAAGCTGTCTGACAAAGCGAAGCACGGTAAAAGGTCTCAAAAAAGCAACACATCATGCCATGATCTAAAGAAATTCAAGAACAGATGAGAAACAAAGTAACTGACATGTATCATTCTGGAAAGGGTTACAAAGCAATTTCTAAGGCTTTGAGGCTCCAGCAAACCACAACGAGAGGCATTATCCACAAATAGAGAAAACTTGAAACAGTGGTGAACCTTACCAGGCCGGCCTACCAAAATTATTCCAAGAGCACAACGACGACCCATCCAGGAGGTTTTAAAAGAATCTAGAACAACATCTAAGGAACTGCAGGCCTCAAATCTGAAACAATATCAATATGATCTTTTGAAATCTTTTAAAAATGGAACATGATAAGCCACGAAGAGCTATACAAAAGCAAAAGTAACATTTTATTATTGATTTTACAATGTAATATCTTACCATTACCATTGGTATCTCATGTAAAAACATGCATTTGTGGAGAAAACAATGATTTTAACAAAGCTACTTCCCGTATATCGTTAGCTATGTGTAAAAATAATTCACCTAGACCCCTGTAATTCTTGTGGCTGCAGTGGTGGAACACGACCAGGCCAAATGTAGAAGATAATGGCACTATTCTTCCTTTAATTACTCTCTGAGTTCCTGACACAAATTACTATACTTAAATACTGCTTCCTGGCCATCCCGATAATTCAGGGCAGTGCTTTCCATTTATAGATTCACCATTCTTTTTGCTAACAGCTTAAAATACTTGCTTTGATTAGATATATCACCAGATCTATCGTCATAGTGAATGCATCGAAGATATAAGTGACAGCTGCGCTCACTGGATGAAACCTTTCAAATCTAATAATGTATTCCCTTTTCAAATCAGTTTTTTTTTCTATTATGTTTTTCTATCCATGGTGGAAATCTATGTCAGTTCTTGTCTTTTACCTTTCATGCTGATGTGAAAATATAACTTAAACTATTCCTGAGAAGGGGTTTGAAAGAAATCCATTGTTTGAAACGCATTTTCTTTTGCAGTAATATAGAAGGGATTTCTGCATTTGAGAAATAAACTGGTTCCAATGCTTTATTTACTGCAGAAAGTTAAAAAAGTATGTTTTCAATGTATAATGATAAACTCCTGACAAAAACTCTTTTTTTTTTAGCTGTGTTACTTTTTGAGCCACTTTTTTCTTTTTTTTTTCTTCTTTTCATAAAAGCATTTTTAATTTTTTAAAACAAAACATATGTAGGGCCACTGTGCATTATCATAATATCAATACATAATAATAAATCAAATTGTCCATGTGCAGAAAAAGCAGTTCATGAAAGTAATAAAAAAACAGTCACAATATAAGGAAAATTAAAGAGAGCATTCACCACCTTCCAAAAGTGAATTCACTCTTCTTTTAAGTGCTCAGAGACCAGACACCATCTTCCTGTAAAATAAACACTCACCGGAACGGATGGTTGCCCTTACAACAGCATATAAGCCTGTGACCACTGTCACAAATCATTGGCGTGTATATCTGACTTCCCAATACTCTGCATCCAATGGCACCTCAGGATAGGATCAGGCTGGAGTGAGCAAAGCTCACCAGGAGCCAGAGATAATACTCCAATCGCGTAGTATTTAACGTGTCTTTAAAAGCAATCTCCATAAAAAGCAATAAGAATTACTCAGATAGAAAGCTGCTGCTGACCTGGGATCATGCAGCGGCGTGAAGTCAGCACTAGAAACTTCACCCGACCCCTTGATAATGTGCTAGCTTGCGGCTTCACAGCCAGGTACCCACTGCTCATGCACAAGTAGCACTGCACTTCATGAATGGTCCTGTAGTCTTCTGGGACCTGTCACATTTCCCAAAAGACTACAGAGAGGGAGGGAGGACACCTTCCGTTTCCAATCGCCTAGGCTATCGGACCGGAAATGGGAGCGGGTACCTGTGAAATTCCCCGCTCCCCAATGGTGCCAATCCTTAATGGGGAGCTGGGGAGCAGTCCTTAAAGAGGAACTTCCCCTTTTGGGTGGAGCTCCGCTTTAATTTTGTCTGGAAATTGATCAAGGCTTTTTTGACACTATTTGAACAATCCTTTGTTGCAATCCTTGATCATTTTTTT